AGAAAACAAAAGGCTTACACACCGTTTCCTCAAAAATAAAACCCATTCAATTTATTGCACATACTCACAATCATGCAAAAAATGGAAAACTCCATCTTCCCTGATTCAAACTGCAGTTTATCTCCATTTGAATGCAATAAACTACGAAGGTTAGCATGCATCTAACATAATGTTCCCCGCATTTTCCAACTGCACAATGTATCAACAAGGGGACGTTCGGATCACTGCAAAGTAATTGCGATACGAGTGCTAAGAGCATGCAAATGCAGTTCTTGCAACTTCTGTCGCACGCAGTTAGCTGCAATTACCATTTGTAAATTTTTGCAACTTATGTTTGAAGTCATAGCTATAGGTTTTTCTTGGCGTGCCAGGTTTTAGGAGTTCTGTTGGGGTTTGGTTGCAGTTGAAGTTGCTGACTTAAACCTCATCTGTAGCCCTGAAAGGTTGCACATGCGGCTCACGCTTAAACTCGTTGCCCTGGGGAGGATCGCAACCGGAGTTGGCGACCGTATATTTATCAGTTGGCGTAGAAAGTACAAATCAAAAGGAAAAAGACTCCCACAAATAAAAGGTAATACACAAATCTTCGTCACACCGCTACCCCTATGGATGCAAAATAATATGGGTTTCCGGAGACACATAAAGGTATCGATATGTATAATTGTATATGTGCTCCCACACCAAATCTATTTAAACCTTAGTGGATCTAAAAGTGAGTTTCATGAACCAAATCTATTTTCCCCCCAACTCCTCAAATCCGATTTATATTCGTATTCAATTTAATCCGATTTATATTCGTATTCAATTTTGGCGGACATGGATATGAGTCTTCAACCTGGGGTATCACTCGCAAACCCTAAGATTTACCCCTAAACCTAAAGTCTCGACCACATCAACATCACCAAGATTCAATCTTTACAATCAAATGAGCCGATAAAACGCAAAAAAAATAAGAAGAAAAGAAAATATTTATATTCGTATTCAATTTTGGCGGACAAGGATATGAGTTTTCCTTTTTCCTCAAATCCAACTCATGTCTTCAACCTGGGGGTATCACTCGCAAACCCTAAGATTAACCCCTAAAACTAAAGTCTCGACCACATCAACATCATCAAGATTCAATCTTTACAATCAAATAAACCGATAAAACGCAAAAAAAAAAAAAAATAGATTGAAGGTTAGGGAGAGCTACCTCGAGATCTCATGATGGAGAGGAAGGAGGTCATGACGGTGGAGATGGGCTGGAGCTGACACGTCGCCTTCCCTCTCCTCTCCGCGTTTACAATGCTCCGCAGCGCCTCGTTAAGTATCCTGCGCCCCATTTCCCAGTTCCTCCTCCTCCTCCTCCTCCTTCGAGCTCTCTCTCACTCTCCGCCCTCGCAAAGTTGGCCGAAGCTAGGGTTTTTCTTAACGGGCCCGGTTGGGTCTGACCGGGGATTCGCTTACGGTATGTTGGATTTGGGCTTTTAATATGTGGGCTGCGCTTGACTTAATTAATTACTTTTTATGGGCCAAATCACGAAATTGGTATTAAAAATAAGGCCGAATGGCACTTTAAGTACCTTATTGTTTCACTATACACGTAAATACCCTAAACTGTAAAAAGTTGCGTAAAAATACCACAAGTAGTTCCGCGGTTAGAATTAGGCTAGCAGCGTTAAAAAAATACCCGTTTTGACGAAAGTGCCCTCGATTAAAATGGTAGGAATAAATTGAAGGGGTAGGTAAAATGGTAATTAAAGTAATATATAGGGGCAATAGAACAATAAAATTCCTGTGAGCCAAGTACATGGGAGCATTCGTCGAAATATTCTAACACTCCTTTAGGGGGTGTTTGTTTCAAATCCTATAATTTTAGGATATGGATTTCATCATGGGATTTCAAATCCATAGATGTTTTGTTATGGGTTAGGATTCTAAAAACTTTATTTGTTTTAACAATATTTTAGGATTTGGAATACTATAATTTGAAATATTTTGTTTGTTTCAAACTCAAATTATAGCATTACATATTTTGGAATTTGAAATCCATAGTTGTAACAAACAAGTTTTAGGATTACCAAAATAATAAATGGTGAATATAAGAAATTTGGTGAACTTACCTCCCACAAAAAAACAAATGCAAATGTATTCAATTGGGGTAAGCATACCCATTCAAATTTATACTCCAACGGCTATAAACGGTCATAAAATAACCCTAGACAATATAAATAATAAAATGCAAAAGTAAATAAATAACATAGAGGCTCAGAAAATGGTCATTTTATTTTCAACACCTATATAATGAAATTGCATTGCAGATTGCATTCTAATAATGGACTGTCTCATCTAAAAATTGCAAAAGTAATATAGACTGCGTTCTCATTCATGAACGCCTCTTGTAAACAATAAAATTCCATTATAGTCGGCAATATCAATATGTGACCAATCATGATAGCTAAATCCAAAAAACTCAAAAAACCACTTATAGCCTATAAACAATGAATTCATTAGATTGTAGAAGAGAACAGTAAGGGGTATATATAGGATGAAAACCAAGGCTCAAAACCCAAGAAAATCCAGCAAAAAGACAAAACTGCAAAAGGCTAGAAAAATAGCCGTTGGAGCTTATCAGTCAACTGACGACTCGGATCAGTCGACTGATGAGCTGACCGTTATATGAAACTGGCAGCTCATCGATCGACTGATGAGCGCAATCAGTTGACTGATTACTCATTAGTCGACCAGCATAGAAGCAGAGACTTTTGATAAATGTAGGCAGTTTCATCAATCGACTTGTCAGTCGACCAACATAGAAGCATAGACTTTTGATAAATACAAACAGTTTCATCAGTCGACTGATAACCAGTTTTCAGCCTGTATTGAATTATGAAATTAAATTTTAAAGTCATTTAAAAAATAGTTGAGGTGGATGTGTTTTTTTGGTGATCCAGCCCACATCCTCTATGAAATGTGGGATTTTACAAATCCTAAAAAATATTAGTTTTTTATAATTTGGAGATTCAATATTCTAAAATTTGTTTTGAAACAAACAAAGTTTATGGAATTCTAAAACCCAGAAAAACCCACTTTTTGATCCTAGAATTTGAAATCTCACTCAAATGCCAATTTTTTTGGAAACAAACACCCCCTTAGTTTCTTTTGCCAAATGGGTACCAACTTATTTATATAGATGTCAACTTCACTTAAAATATATGATGGAAAGGTAATATGCAGGTAGATCACAATGTATGCATGCGTGGGCCTTTAATCAATCATGAAATTGCTGAATCCCGTAAAAGTGATATTTCTTTTATAAGTATTGTTAATTTTATTATATTTTCCCCCCTATTACTTTAATCCCGTAAAAGTGATATTTCTCTCTCTCTCTCTCTCTCTCTCTCTCTCTCTCTCTCTCTCTCATTTGGTTTCAAAATGAATTAGACGAATCTCTTACCTCTTTATAAGTCTTGCGTACATGAATGGTAAAAAAAAGTAGTACAATAAACATTACATTTCATGATATTCAGTAAAATTTCAAAAAGTACCAAGAAACCTAGGCTGAATCTAAGGCTGACAACATGATACAATCCAAAACTAGAAGTCCCTGCTGGAGTTGTTATTGCATTGTGAAACGCAACTACATGTGTTTGGTTATTTTCAACCAAACAGGAAGATAAGATACAAGCAAATAATTTTGCATTGCACCAGTGAGAAAAACTGTACTCTCAACTGTTTACATTCCACTTGAAGAGTAAAGATCATTACAAACAATTATAACACTGAAGAGCATTTGCATTTCATAGCTTAGTTCATATGCATATATGGTGGAGATTTCCTCATCTATCTCTTGATTTTGTCGGGCGCATCAGTACAGGGATCTCAAAAATGCTTCAGAGAGGGTTTAGCAATGGTAATGACTTGGACAAGTACCTCATGCTGACCCTTTTTACCTGAAAGAGTAATTAGAGAAGCAATTAGAGAATGATTTTCTATTATACCTTCCAATTCTACTTATCATCTAGATAAACTTTGTTCCTGACCCGAAATATCTCCTTTATGTGTGAAGGTGAAGCAAGAATATAAGGCAGGAAAAAAACTGAATTATCCTCAGTTGATCCACTTACATGTCTATATATATATATATGATTAATTACTTTACCATTGCCAACTGACCAGGGAAACAATGATTTGCACTGGAAAATGAGGGACGATAATTTTTTCCAAATTTATTTTTTTGGCTAAAAATAATATGTGGTATGGCCAAGGTCATGGTGTTCTTATCAAGTTTTGGCCATACAACAATTAGCTATTTTTCTCCATCTTGAGGAAATTGATTTTGCTTTTACAGATGTAGGTTTCCGTTTGTGATACCTAGCTTGCTTTTGTTTTCTACATGAAATCATAATACCTTACCAGGAAACTCAAATAATTACACATATTCGAACTTAAATTGGGATGCTTCATACTTGATGAAAGTACTTATAGCTGATAATTGGATTTCTTCCTTAGGTTTCTTCTCCTAACCGAAAGGAAAGGTCCTCTTGGTCTGTGCTCTGTGGCCTTTCTTCGTTGTGGTTTGTGTTCAAATGGGGATCTAGAATTTGCATCAGGCTACTGGTTATGTAGAAACTAATTTCAAACGCACTTCTTAGTTAAGAAGCCAGCTCTAAAGTTTACAACGTACAGGTGAACAGTCTCGCCTGGAAACCTCTCGTTAAGAATCATTTCGAAAAAAGAAAAAGGAAATAAAGATCATATCCACGCTTAAAAATGACTACAGGTGAAATATTTTAAATATGTAATACTCAATAGGCCTTTTGAGCAAAAACCATTTGCTTTGCTTTTCACACCAGCATCAGCTTCCTAAACAGAAATTAACAACTAAAATGCATTTTGATTTGGCCTACAGTGAAAGATTAATAGAGTAAACAATCATCGGCAATACGTGCTCAAAATTCAAGCTATCAATAAAACAGTAACGGTAGAAAAGAGAAGGATAAAAAAGAAACTTACATATCTTCTTAATTATCACAAGCAAGCTGCGGATGCCTGAACAGCAAGAAGTTTGTCTTTAGAACCCAAATCGTGGAACTGACCAATATCATGACCATCTACTGCTTTATACGTTTCATGTAAGCCAATTTCAAATTCTTCCGCCTGAGCTCCACCACTTTGAAAATAATCTGCCATCTGTGGTGGAACAAAAAAATAAGTTGACATAACAGAAGGCAGGTCTATCTTGTGCAAATTTATTTTCCCATCATCAATTATCTTTGGATTATACTTCAGGATTCATTTAACATGGTCTATAACATTATTCTTGGAAAGTTACAGGTGGTTTTCTTTCTACTTGGTCTTGGCATGAAGAATTAACTGGAAGCCAAGACGAGGGAAGTTAGATTATAAAGATTGCCAAGGAGCCAGAAACAATAAGAAGACCTGCTACTTTGTCAGTCATATTGCCAACCTATACAAATGGGCCAAGAAATATAGATTGAGATGTTGTTTCTATATGAGAAATAATCCTTAGTAAGGATAGGAAGCATGTAAGTCCAAAAGACCAAGAATTAGCAAACTTTAAGACTCCAGCCATGATACAAAAGTATTAACATTAAAAACGAGCCCAACAACGAGGAAGCAAATCATATGCTAGGAAACTGACTAGATTTTCAAATAGCAGCAAGACCATAAGCCAAACTATTAAATTTCAATATGCCTGACATTATGCATAAGGCAACAAAGAACTGCAGCAATCTTCAGCTTTTGCAACGTTTTTACTGTCAGTTAAGTTGTTTCTCACATGATGTGCGAGAGATATTCCGCTTAAGACTGCAGCTTCAAGATTAGACCCGAGCAGCCAATCACCACAGATCCCTGCCCGTCCATGAGGATCAAAGATACAAGGAATTCCAGGAGTGTTGGTTGGGAGAGCTGCACCCCTGTAAGAAGACAGAATGTTGTAATAAGATTTAAATTCAACCAACTAAACGTCCATCACCAACAACTGTCAGGCCTAATGATTGCAGACCATAGCTGGACTCGAGAGTAAAATGGGCGCTGAAGTGATCCCTTAGATAATCCAAGAGCAGTCTCAACACCTTTGAGCATCTCTGCCTTCACTTTCTCTGCTGTGACAGAGGGGATATTTTCCTGATAATTTAAATAAGTAAATCAAAACATCAGAGATTATTAAAACCATGTGGTTTAAAGGAATGGCACGTCACTGTTACATCTTAAGAACTTAAACTTACATGCAAATGCCCATTGTGACATACAGAAAGGTACAAATGAATGATGAAATTTGACTACCTGGGGGACTTTATTTCGTTTTCCATAAGCAGCTGTACTGAAAAAAGTCCAACATTGAGGCAAGCCACTTTGCAAGGGGAAAAGTTTGCTGGTATTGTTGGCCATCCATGAAACAGAATCCACACCTTTTACAAAAGCTCCTTCAAAAACCATGGGAGCTCCAACAGGAACAGGAAGAGGATCTTTAAACGCTGCAAGAAGCGCCCATATAGAACTGAGTTCCAGTCTCTACAAACAGCAAAGTTTAGTTGAATCAGAAGTAACTATAGATTCAAGTAAAACAAACTGTTGTTGCCAAGTTTGAGTGTACTTTTCCGACTTTTAAGCGTACATACCTTCATTTGCTTGTATAGTAGTGGTAAGCCAGAAGATGACAGCAAGCGATTTGCACATTTACCTGTTAGCAAAGTAACAAAATAATTAATTATCTAATAAAATAATAACAAAACAACCAACTATTTAAGAGCTCTAATGATTCATGTGCAAACTGATTTGAGTTTTCTGGACAGATTAAATAATCTATATTTCCACACGAAATCAATATAACAAGTGATACAGGTTGATGTACTACGGGGAACATCAACTTATAGCAAAATCTGATGCATAAGTAGATTCAATGGTTCATAGAGAAGAAGTCATTATTCTAATATGTATTCTATGGAATCATAAGGTCAAAGGCTCAAAGCTATGTCGATGGAACATAAATATCTATAAAAAGTTCATGAATAGATCTCCCATCGAGCTCCCATTTAAGTTTTCCCAACTCTTTATCTGAACTATAGCTTCCAACATCTAGAACAACGGTCAATACTACAACGGTCAATACTGATGCATAATATCATGCTGGATTTGAACATCCAGTTGAAATTGGCTGATAATGTCCAATACTAGGCTACTGCTAACAATGACTAATGTAGGCCAACATTGGCTAATTATGACAACACAGGAGGCAGGAGGCACTTTAAGGTCTGGATACAAAAGTTGACTTGATTTATGTTTGGAATGAGCTATGTATATATTATCACCTGAACCACAAAATGACCTTGTACTATCACCAATAAAGGTAAATCTTAACTGCAAACCAACACCAAGACTATTTCAGACCCGGATAGCTCTCCCATTGGCTACATGAACTCATTTGGTGATTCACAAAATACTGATAATACTGACACTGAATAATAGCACCCTCAAATGTTTTTTCCAAGGCCAGCAAGCAGTGGATACTGGATATTGCCACCATATATCTTCCCATATTAGTCTACACACCTCAATATGATATATCTAAGAAAAAATCAATAACACGAGGGAGATGAGACAATTAGCAGTTACTTCAATATTGTCACCAAGAATATTGGTATAACCACTAAAAGTAGGTAGATTTAGATATGAACTGATATGGCAAGATTTGGCAGCTTTAGCATCAGCACAGATTCTAATAAACCTTTTGAATCAAAAGGTACTCCATATTAGAGATATGACCCGCACGCACAGAAAGAGAAGAATGTTAAAATAAGATCGCGACATAACAAGGAAAGTTTCGGCACCCTTTGCCAAATGTGGGCAGGTAAGGATAGGAAGATAATATATAGTACACCAGAATCCAACCAGGCACAGGCGCAAGAACATGGAAACAAGATTAATACCATCAAATTTTCTAAGCATGTTACAATAATGTTTAATTATAAGAAAATATCAGTAGGTAGGCGGCAACTGTACAAGTACATGTCAACTTCTTTCTGCAGGTCTTCATAAGAGTTGTAACTTGAGTCCCTAGTATGTGCAGCAAGATAACTGAAGGACCTATTCTGGATACATAAAAGTTCATGCAGAAGGTACTTGTCCTATTAAAAGAGATGTTAATGCAAAAAAAATCAACAAATTAAGATACTTTTACCATTATGCGCAATAACAATTGCATCAAACTGGCCTTGCGTATTCCCCTTCTCACTCAAATGCCACATTCCATTAAATGGCTCAAGCTTACTTACCCAGCAAGGCCTCACAACATTAACCATACGACTCTGCAATTCAATTTACCAATAATACTCAGCACAAAACCAAATAAGTAGCTGCCCATCAAAGTCTTAAAAAACATAAAGCTTTAAAAAAGGCAAGTTTGACAAAACTAAAATGACCTTTGGGCAGTTTTGCACAAAACTACAAGAAATTTCTTTTCGAAAAAACTGACATAAATTCCTTTTTCTTTTTCCCGATAAGATGTTATGTGCTTCACAGATGACATGTCTTGAATAATCTATCCCTTATGTACTTTACATATCTTCCATATTATCCTCCCCCTCTCTCCTATTTTCAATTGTAGTGTAGACCTTTCATCCAATACATTAACCCCTTAATCAAATAATTATGTTATTCTGCAGTTTTGAAAGTTCATGGTAAGTTTCTATAATAAAATGAGGTTTACAGTAATTTTGCGCAAAATGTTCTAAGGCTCGAAGTAGTTCTGTGAAAAGTGCCCTAGCAGAATAAACAACATCCTTACATTCCAGTTAAACAAAGTTACGGAATCGGGCATCTTACTAATCAAAGGCATCAACCTGCACCAGGATCGAATCTGCAAGAGGCCGCATCCCCCTCGCTCCTATATACCTCGGAGTAGTATAAGGCGCCGGATTAAAACGACCCCCAGCTTCAAGCTGCCCTATTTGACCCTTCCATTCGCGAATCAGCCCTTCCTTCAACCATTTCTCAACAAACTTCTCAAACCTCGGATCGCTCGCGGTGAAGAACTGAGCGGCATGATCAAAAACCAGTTCCTGGCCATCAAATTCAACCATTCTCGTCCCCAGTCTCCCCCCTAAACCATGCATCCCCTTCAAAATTGACGGCAAAAATCATTAAGGACCTGTAAAAAACTGATCTTTTTATCAAAAAAAATGGGGAAAAGTAAAGCCCCTAACTGTATCAAAGACGGTGGATCGAACACCACGGTCCTCGAGGGCGGAGGCGCAGGCGGGTGGCGGCGGCGGAGGGAGGAGAAACGAAGGTGACCTGCTCCTGAGAGAAGCTCTTCTTGAGGACTGACCTCCTAGAGGTTCCGTACGACGAGCGCTTCCGCTTCGTCGTCTTGCTCCTGCTAGGGTTTGGTCTTCTCTCGTCGCTGGATGTTAGGGTTAGGGTTTTGGGGATTGTAGGGTTTTTGTGGAGGATTAACATCGAGGGTTTGAGAGGAGAAGAAGGCGGCAAGAGAGAAGTAGCCATTGATGAAAATGGAGCTTGGGAGTGGATTAGCGAGGGAAATTTTGACGATATTGTTGGGTTTTTTCTTTTTTGCGGAATGGTCCCTCGAAAAGTTTGACACGAACTCGTGACGACCCCAAATTTCTGAATGAAGGAATATTGTAGCCGGAGTAAACTCGTAAAAAGTCCTTCAAAAATATACATTCATTACAACACCATCAAAAAAATCTCTTCATTGAAATAAAATCAACAATAAATATTCTCTATAATTCCAAAAGTCACCATTAATCTAATTAACTTGATAGAAATAAATATTCCTCAACTTGAAATAAAATTTGATCTAAAGGAAAGAATCTCATTATTACAAAACTCTTAATTTATCAACTAAACATCAAAGACTTTATTTAGCATTCACCTAGAAGACAATAACAATCTCGAATTTTATTCATTGTTCCGTTCTAAAAAAATTGAAAAATCATCGATTACGCCTAATCCCGAGTATCTGAAAAAATAAAAATAACACAATAAGTTCACAACTCAATAAGTAGATAAATTCATACATTGAACACTGGTTTTATAAAATTCAAATATTTCGACAAATGATAAGCAAAATATAAGAATGATAGAGAATCATCACTGAACTCTAGTATTTAATGCAAAAAATTTAAGAAAACTTAAAAATAATCATGAAATGGAAATAAGCAGGTCACGTCTCAATGCGGTCAACTATTTATACTCCGGTTGACTCGGTAAACCCCACAATTATTAAGTCCATGGTTCCGGGATGGTGAGACCTAAATTTGGGCTCTTAGCGCTAAAATAAAACCTCGTAGAGGCACATTGAGCCATGTTTTACTAACTTGCTTTTATCCGGCATATGTTGATGTATTAACCTGAGATGCATATGCTTTAAGAAAGTTAAACAAAGTTCGTAAAACTAAATACACTATACAAAAATGGCAAAGACCAACCAATAAGGAAATCAATCAACCACATATGCATCTCAACCTACTACTATATGAAAATAAGCATATGCTTATACCAAATAACCACATTCATTAATCCAATCAACAATTAGTATGCGAGCAACCATACAAAATGGTATAATCCATCAGAACAAACTTACATATAATCAAAGTAATTTTATATAAAAATATATGCAATGAATAATGTACAAATTCACCGATTACCTCCACCCAAAAGACACTCGAACTTTAACTCACGATGCTTCTGCAGAGCCCCTAAAAACTTCGGTTGGTCGTGGGATATAGCTGCCTTTGCCTGACTGCTTAGACATAGGTTAGGGTTTACTTAATCTTCTTCTTTCGTTTTTTTTTTCCCCTTATATACTATGTGCTAATATTTTCATAAACCCCTCATCAAATCTTCTTTTGCATCAAGCCCCTTGACAAATACAAATATGTTATTATAGTTACTATTTTATTTCGTCGCATAAATGTCCTCTTACAAACTCATCTACAAATTAATATAGTTAATTCAATTGTTAGGATATCTATTTAAATAGTTACTAATATAGACTTAATATTAAAAATTTTAGGGATATTACGGCAGGGCCGTCTCAAGCATTTTTGAGGCTCAAGGCAGAGAAAAATATTTAGGGCCTTAACATTAAAAAAATTAAATATTAGTTTTTTAAAAATAAATTTTATATAAAATTTAATTTTCTAGCTTTTTGAGATGCAAAGTTACTAATTAAATTTTATATTCAAGCTTTAATATTCAATTGATAAAATTGTCAAATTATTTAATCTCTTGAGACATTGTTGAACGTAAATAAGATTTTATTAATAAAAAGATATAAAAGGAAAAAAAATAAAAACACAAAATACAGAACATATCCGTGAGCTATGTGTGTGTGTGTGTGTGAGGAGAATGAATGTAAATTAATTAAAATAAATAAAAACCAACAAGCTTACGTTTTATTTTGGGGCCTTCTGGATTAGAATTGCAATTATGTATGTTGAGTATCAAAGATTAAACAAATACTTCTGGATTAGAATTGCAATTATGTATGTTGAGTATCAAAGATTAAACAAATATGAAAGATGAGTGAATTTGAAGAAAATAAAGGAAGTTAGCAAGAGAAAAAACGCATAAACTATGCATAAATAAGAATGAGTATTTAATATGTGTTTTTCTCTTTTTTTAACTATTACAATCTAATTACTTATAGAAATAAAATATAAAAAGTTACAATTAAACTTTATTAGTGTTCTTTTCCAAAGATAAAGATAATTATATATAATTATAGCAATAAATGATCAATTAAAGATAATTGATAATTTAGAATCCTTACAATAGTCAACTTCTTATATTTCCAAAATAAATTAATAATTATATTTTATTATATATATATATATTATAGAGAATATATTTTTGGGGGCCCCAATAAAATGGGAGCCCTAGGCATATGCCTTAGTGGCCTATGCCTTAAGCCGGTCCTGGTGACAACCACCATGCGGTCGAAGAGGAGGATAGAAAACTGAGGATCCCAAAATAGACAGTGAATATGTCAGGATCATAAATGAGTTGACAGATTATTAATTCATCAAATCATTGTAAAAATCAAGTATGAGTTATTTGTGCGAGGCATTGATGTATGATATATTATGTGCCAGCTTGAGCAGGAATATTAAAAGCATTGAGCCTATATATATATATATATATATATAATTTTTTTGGGGGGCCCCAATAAAATGGGGGCCCTAGGCATATGCCTTAGTGGCCTATGCCTTCAGCCGGCCCTGTTAATTACGGTTCAAAATGAAATCTGGGGTAAATTCTGATCTATGGTTTGAGCAAAAGATAGAATAAAGGAAACAAAAAAAATGTGAATTTTTGTGGTTTTAGTGGGAGTGGTTTTTTTTTATTTTTATTTTTTATATCAGAAGTGAGAGTGGTTTTTTTAATAGTTTGTGGGGGTTTTTTTTTGTGAAAGTATAAGGAAGGTTTTAAACTATTCGAATTTTAGAGAAGCCGTCTATAACAACAACAAAGCATCCATCTCAAAAAAAATTTTGGGTAGGCTACATAAATACTATAATTCTCTAATCTTCAAAGTTCAAGACCATGTTTTATTATATTCATTATACTTATACAAGTGTTGCTTATTGCCTTCCCTTTCGTATTAGGGGGTGTTTGGTTCAATTTCTAGAAATTATAGGAAATGTTTTCCACTTAAAATATGATTTCTTTGTATTTCTTAAAAAAAATTATAGGAAAAGTTTTGAGAAATCAAAAAGTACCAATTTTCTTGTTTTTTGTACTTTGCTTGTTTGGTTCAAAACAAGAAAATGGCTCATAACTTTATAGAAAATAACAAGATTTGGTAGGTTTTTAATTAAATATGGTATGTGTCAGATTTCTGGTGATTTCCTCTCATTTTGAGAGGAAATTGTTTTTAGTAAAATTTGGTAGGTTTTGATATTTTATAGAAAATATTTCTGTAAATTTTTTGTTGAACCAAACACAATTTGCAGAAATCTTTAGAAAACTTTTAATTACAAATTTACCATTGTCAGATGTTTTGAAAAAAGTTTTCTCAAAAAGTGTGTAACCAAACAGCCCCTTAGAGTACAAAAACCTATCCAAGGAATGCTAGAACTACAAAAACAAATAAACTCCTATCCAAGGAATGCTAGAACTACAAAAACAAATAAACTACACCTACATATATATATACACACACGAAGAGGAGAAATACAAGAAAACAACAAAAGTATCACAAATAACCAGCAAACCAAATATACACTCCAACCACTAGATTTTGAGCCAAGCGAAGTAAAAAATGTCTCCGCATACGTTTTTAAACAAGTTTCATGTTCAGTTGTCAAGTACAATTTTATACAAATTTCCATATAACTTGCATAACTTCACTACATCACAAAAGCCCTGGTTACAACCTGTCACACTTGGGAAAAAGCTCTCACAGTTTTTTATTTTCAGTCAAGTATCAGCAAGTCAAGACGTCATGGAAGTATCAGTAGATTTATTTTCAGTGACCTTAGTAGAACTTTTCTTCAGAGGTTTAAGCCCTTGTTTGTCTTCGGAAGCTCCGTTACCAATCTTCGGACCAATTTCTGCCTTTTTGCCATCTTCTTTGCTGCCAGCAAGGCTACGACGACTCAATCGAGAACATGTGTCGTCAGTGTCATCTCGTGTGGTTGCATCATTCAAGCTCTTCCTTCGACCAAGCTTGGGGGATTTTGCACGTGTTGGAGGTATCTTCAACACAGAAATGAAAACAAAGAGGTCAGATTGCCTTGAACTAGAACACAAATGCATTTATGCCAAGTTAGAGTAAGGGTATATAGCCAAAAAAACCAATCCAAATTGTATAAGTGAGATGAGTAAGGGTTCATTCTTTTTGGTACTTATTTGTCAATACAATTTAGGATTTCTTCTGGTTTGTGGTTAATGTATAGCAAATGTCCGATAGATCAAGAGGATAACATCAGTATGCTTCAAAGCAAGCTGATTGCTGGGACAATGGGTCTTGATTATGTATGTCGATCCCTATTAACTTGTGAAATTCTTGGCCTTCCATGTGATAGTTTATACTGAACAAAGGCCAAGATGCAATATGAAAATTAGTTTTCAGAATTAGTCATGTCTTGCAATTATGTCAGGCTTGATATGATGAAAACAAAAACATATTAAGCACGAAAAAAGTTTTCGTGACAGAAAAAGTTGTTCCATGAGTAGCCAAAATTATATAGAGTTTGCAGCTTCGACACAAAATATTAGTAAACAGCATGAGGTTTCATTTCTGCCAAGAAAGATGATTGAGAGGAGTTTAAAGTAAAATACCTTCTTGAGTTCAACCTTAGGAGGAGGCCCCTGTTGGTAAAAGCTTGGCATTGGGTTTGCTTTGACAACCAAACTCTTTCGAAATTGTTTCAGAGCAGCCTCCATTTCTTCCTGGAAAAGATAAGAAATTAAAATAATGAGAATGGTTTGCATAATGTTACCAAGAATATTTGGTAGATCTGCTGAAATTGATTTAAATGTCAAATGTCATTACCAAGCCTTTAATGAGAAAGCATTCATTAATAAAGGAGAAAAATGACTAAAAAACTAAACCATATTTAAAATAACTCCGGGATGATAATGCGCTATTTATCTGAGGGGTGGAAGATACCTTACTCCTAGCTTCAGATTGCATTTTCTCTTCCTCCAGTGCTTGTTGCTTCTGTTCTAGCTTAGCATAGAACTGTAGCAACAGAAGGAAATTAATAATTGAAAGTTTTATATTTAACATCCTCATAAAAATTAATGGAAAAAAGAGCACCTCCTTCCGCTTCTCTGCACGCTCACTGCATCTAAAAACAGGGGCAATTGCTACCGTCGTCCGAGCTTTGGGAGATTTTCCAGATGTTGCGGTTCTAGTATCAATAAGAAAGTTTAATGCAAATATCTTAGCAGAATATAAACATACAAAGAAAACTAACAACAACATAAAAAAGTAGCAAGAGGATACGAAGAAGGAGAGCAAGCATCCTCCTCCTCTGTGTTTGTTGCACCGTCAAATTGCAAAGGCTTCTTCATTTTGTGGTCTGGGCTCCCCTGTAATGACTATCAGAATAGTACCGTCATTAGTTGCAGCATTGAAAAATGTTTCAAATAAATTGGTTGCTTAATACATTTAAATCATCTTTTTCGCCGTAATCACTATCCTTCACCAAAAGCCAGATTACATAGGCCTTCCTATGCTGTTCAGAGAGAACCATGATACTAAATTAAATATACTAATAGCTGAAATCGAACGTAGAAGTGCAAATAACAAGGAACTGAAGGAATCCTTTCTTGAAAGAATGTGATAAATAAACCAATAAAACCAGCATATTCTTAGCTACACATCATGGATGTATATGTATTTTGCATATGAATGGCATCATAAGTGAAGTTGTTTGTCATAGAAAATTGAAATATGGCATTTGGATGAACAATTGTACTACAACCATGGGCATTTTTATGGTTGAGGCATGAAACTAGATGAGGAAGGACAGAGGATTAAGAAAGAAAAAAAAACCTTAGATTTCCTTGGATTGTCAGTTGACTGACTAGCTGTTATCTTAGTAGATTTGTTTCTATTTACGGCACAATTAGTTGAAGACCGGTTTCCACCCAAAGCAGACTTGGCACAAGCAGTGTGACGCGTCTTTATGGTTCGAACATTAGAAGGTATTGGTGAAGCTTTAGTGGGAGAAACTGAATCTTCATGATTGGTTGGCTTCTGACTTTCAGGTTTCAAATCCTGCTTTGGTGACTGAGCTTCTTGATGAACGCTAAGTGCTCCTACTGGAGAGGTGACAGTCACTTCTTTTGATTCTTCAACTGGAGAGGTGACACTGTTTTTCTTCATGTCAGACGCGTTCGATTCTTCTGGTTCTTTCAATTCTTCTGGTTCTTTCAATTCTTCTGGTTCTTTCAATTCTCGTGATTCTTTTGGTTCTTCCGATTCTCTCGCTCCTTTTGATTTTTTTGATTCTATCGATTCTTCCAACTCTTCAGATTTTTTTGATTCTTGTGGTTCTTTTGATTCTTTCAATTCTTTTGGTTCTTTTGATTCTTTCAATTCTTTTGGTTCTTTTGATTCTTTTGGTTCTCTTGATTCGTTTGGTTCTGTTGATTCTTCCAATTCATTTTGTTCTTTTGACTCTGCCGATTCTTTTGTTTCTTTTGATTCTTGCAACTCGTTCGCTTCTTTCAGTTCTTTTGATTCTTTCAATTCCTTTGATTCTTTCAATTCTTTTGGTTCACTAGATTTTCGAAAAAGTCTAGGACCCCAAAGATCTCTTCGAGCTTGACTAGGATCATCAGCAGAAGAGGATTCAGGATTGAGATTATTGACTTGATTAGTACCATCTGCTGCATTTGATGTAGTAGATTCTGATTGCTTATCCATAGATATGTTTAGAACCTCTGTTCCCATAGGCCTACAAGAAGAAAATCAGATGTGTCATGTTGTCTGCTTATGCCCATGGCAGACGAGAAGCAAATGATGCGTAACCTGATGAGCTACAAGGTAGGCAGAACTGAAATTTATAACTATATGCGTATATGTACATATGTCTGAGCATACCTGTTTGTGTATGTATATGTGTGTCGCATGCATCTCTTTGTGCGTACGTAATATTTTCTTTTTCAGCGTGGATATATGAAGATGCACGCACGCAAGAAGAGGCACACATACATACCACATGCATATTCACATACACAAACATTTGCAGACATACATACATACATAGACGTGCATATGCATGCATACTTCATGCTTCAAGGTTGGGCGGCCTCATGAATCAAGTGCAAAAATAAAATATTTTCCAACTGCTTGTTCTCTAAGAACTAAGCTAAAAATCAAGTGCAAAAATAAAATATTTCCCGCTTTTCGTTACCTTTCACCAAAGTTATCAATACTTCTGAAACCACATTAACTTTCAAAATAAGTTTGATAATTCCATAGTCCAGGAAAAACTAACAAAACTGAATGATTTTACATCATATTCAAGAGTAAGAAGGTACAAAGGTATAGTCCTCTTTGCATGTTCACTCTTAATTAGCATTTCAAGTCAGCGTCTTTTAATATAAATTCCTAAGGGGTATTTAAGTCGACACTAATACGAAAGCCTTCATCCGCAAAGACATTCAAATTGACCTCTAGATTAACTCAAGTTGCAATGGCAAGTTCTCAGGACTCCGGGACTCCGTTTAAGATCCAAACGATTAGATTGGAACATGCCATTAATTAACCATATGCCACCATGCCTACAATGCAATACCCAAATTGTGAATTGTAGCATGAGCATGCGCACGCGCGCATATATGGTTCCGCGTGTATGTGCATACAAGTATGTGGATATAGATGCATCATGCACGTTCATAAATCACACTCCTACATCCCTACATAAATGTAAGTATTAAGAAAGTTCATAGATAATATTACATCATCGGGTTGAGATTTAAAAGAAACACATTGCTCATGGTTTATAAGCAAATAAACTTTTCCAATAATTTGTAGCTTACATTGCTTATGATCACAACGACACAAAAAATGAAAGCGGAAGATACATAAATGTAAGTATTAAGAAAGTTCATAGATAATATTACATCATCGGGTTGAGATTTAAAAGAAACACTTTTACAACCAAGTTATACTAAAGAAATAAATCGAACAAATAACCACGTGCATTGCACGTGTATATATGAAACTGGGCATGCGCTAGCAGCGTTTCCCTTTCGTGAGCTGCAGGGGGCTATTTGAAAAAATTCCCACGATTTTAGCCCCGACGATTCCATCCCCTTCACATTCCCCTGTCACTCCTAATCTCTCTCCTCCCAAAATTCCTCAATCCCTCTTCCCTCTTCCCACGATTTCAGCCCCAACTCCGCCACCACATCCCCAAACATCACTCTATCTCTCCCCAAACCTCACCCTCTCCACCCTCCTCCCCTCCCTTAACCTCAGCCCCAACTCCGCCACAACACCGCCGCCACGAGATCCCTCCGTCCTAGGACCAGATCGAACTCCGGCTATCCCGATCTCTCTCTCAGGTAAAACCCCCATCCCTCTCGATCCCTCTGATCCCTCTTTTCTCTCCTCACTTTCCCGCTCCGCCGTCAATCACCGCCCGCCTCCATGCCCAGCAGCGCTGCTACCACGACCATGCCCAAGGAAATACAACGAGAAATTGGATTCATAAGTAAGCCCAAAATTGGGTCCGTTTCAAAACAAATTGTTGAGTTTGCAATTGTGATGATCTCAGTGGACGTTGTCATTGTCGACAAACTTTATCGGAAACATATATATAAAGAAAAGGAAAATTACGAGCAACCAAAATATGGCGAACTCAACAAAATTCTATCAGACCACAAGGAAGAAAAAAAAAATTTAATTGCATTAATTTGGATTCTTACCTTTAAAAGAGAATTCCTCTCCACCGACCCAATCCAATATAATGCTGATCAAGCTAAAAATTATCATAAAAAAAAACAATTACTGTTTTTTCTTACAAAATTCTGGGCTCTCCGTTAGCGTTATGGGGAGCTGGGCGACCGCTGTAACGGAGGGTCCTCATGAAAGCTGGGCGGCTGTTATAACGGCTCCGGTTTAGCTGACGGCGGGAATTTTGGAAGGTAATTGAAGGCGAGGGTGTGGGTGGGACCCAGTCCTCCGGAATTTCCGGCTCGCGGGGTCCAGCACTTCGAGCTAATATTTTAAAAAAAAAATTATTTCTTGGCTTTTTCCTTTAAATTTATTTGTTTGTTTTCAGAGATTTAATCTGGCGACCGAGCAATAACATAGTTGATTTTGTTCTTAAATCTGACGTAGTAGTCAGAGCAGAGTTTATCCTTTTTTCTCTTAATAAATATTTGATAGAAATTGGACAATCATGACATTTTTTTTGATTATCTCTTTTCATGTTTTTCTCATGAGGATATTTCTTAACTAAGAATAATTGGCAAAGATCCAGCTAAAACATGATTATTGTATTTGCAAATATAGAAGTGATCAATCCTTTCTAATGCAAATTTATTAAATATAAAGAATTGTTTTTATCATGCAAATTGAAGAAAATAATTATGACAAGCCTCCGAAAAAAACTCATACTTTCATAAATATATAAACATAATCAAATATATAGAGTTACTTTTTACTAAAGTTTCAATCATTTTTATTTGATTTTTGTTTATTTCTTTAATTGACTTTTTTTGCGAAAACAAATGCGTCTACAAACCAGAGATTTGTCCATTAACATTGAACAACATTATCATCAACTTTATCTGATGTCATATGTGCCAAGCTTGCAACTAACCTAATAATTTAAGGATAAGAACAGAAGAATCAAGCAGAGGCACTAGATAAGGATGATCCTAAAGCTATTCTAAAAAACGATTGAGTGTAAAAACTTGTATATTTAGGAATGTTTTGTTACTACTTTTGGGTATGTTAACAGTACAAGTGGATGACCAACAATGCAACAATCATAACTTTTTTATTGTGCTTATTGTGATTCTATTATTTTTGCGATCAATTTGATATGATTATTGTTGATACCATATATACTTAACAGGTAAGATTTAGAGTTAACAACTTTTTGAGAAAATTAACATGAAAAGCCAAAAGTTAACAAATTCAAGTGAAAGTTGACAATTAGTTGAGATAGATAACAGGAAACAGAAATAGTCTATATATAGTAAATATGCATTGTATATTGATTGCTCTTACATTCTTAAAGCCGATATAGCTTGAATCCACATATTGATTAGTCTTACATTCTTAAAGCTAACAAAAGTCTTCCACAATGAGCTACAAAAATCTTATAAAAATATATTGCTCTACCAAGAGTATAATACTACCTAGCAATCTATACTAATCACCAATTAGATTCTTTATACTGTCAATTTGGTAAATTTACTTTTGATACCGTATATAATTAACAGGTAAGACCCATAGTTATACTTTCTAAGAAAGTTAATAGGAAAAGCCAAAAGTTAACAGATTCAAGTGAAAGTTAACAATTATCTAAGATAGTTACCAGGAAATAGAAATATTAATACTTAGCAATCTACACTAATCACCAATTGGTTCGCTGCAAGTAACTCGATAGTGACCTTAAGCTTTGCATCGAGAACATTTTACTGAACGTGTAAATGGTTCTATTGTTGATACGCCGTGTTCTATTTCTTCTCTTCCTTTTAGTTGTAATTGGTGGTAATATCTCGATTTCATCTTTTGACACACTTCGCTTCTCATAATCTGGGATGGGGAAAAGGACTGGGTCACATCTCTTTTTAAATTCTTTTACGGACATAAACCAATAATAATATTGATAAACATCTCTTTTCATATAACTTATGACTGCAGAAGCATGCTTACAAGGAATATGTGTTACGTCTCAAGCTCGGCAAGTGTATGTTTTCTTCTCCAAGTCAACTTGCGTAGTTCTATATGATTGCACTTCAAATATCTCATCTCAGGATTGTTTAACATCTAAGGTTGTTATATATTTTCTTTAAGGACCTGCTCATCTTTAGGATAAAGATAATCATTCCATTTTGCAGTCATGATGCGTTGGTTGTCCATGCGAACTATAATTTATTTTCGGATATGCTCCACCATTTGTAGTACATGTAACAATCAAGTTTCACATATCCAGTTGTTAAAGGACTTTGCAACATTAGAGATTACATGACCATATCTGCAAACATTAAAATAATAAATTGTATAAGTATATTGCTTACCATATATATCATAAAATTAACAATTAAGAATAAAAATTAACAGTTAAGAGTGAAGATTAACATGTACCGGAAAAGATTAACACATATGGAGGAAAATTAACAGTTACTGCTCATAGTTAATAGATGTGAACTAAAATTGAATAAATTTTCAAAATAGACCCTTCAAGAATTTATTTTAAAAAACGACCCATTTGAAATTTTTTGCTATTTTCAACTCAGTTTCAGCCACCTGGCTAAAACTAGGTCGAAAATAGAAAATAAAGTTCAAAAACTTTACGGGATTTAAAATCTCATGAAGTTTAGTGCCTGATTAACCACACTAATGAAGCTACAAAAGTTAAAAACTTAACGAATATAAAACCCTGTGAAGTTTAGTGTCTGATTAACCACGCTAAACGTCACAGGATTTTAAATACCGAATATTTCAAACTTTATTTGCTATTTTCAACCTGGTTTCAGCCAGATGGCTAAAACCAAGTCAAAAATGGCAAATAAATTTCAAAGGGGTTGCTTTTTGAGAATAAATTTCTAAAGGGTCTATTTTGAAAATTTGTCCACTAAAATTAACATATATTAGTGAGAGTCAACTTCTAATGTAAAATGTTATAATGATTGATGGAAATACCTATTATACCCCCTAAAAATACTAAATACTAATATTCACAAAGAAGTTGACACGTGTTTTACACTATACCTGATCCGAGTAATTCAAGACCAAGGTAACATCTTGTTTGGGTAGAAAATTGTTTTCTTCTTTGTATAACTCATTACAACTTTGATCGTTACAACGAGTTCAAAAAGATCGGTCTTTTTATAAGACCTTTACACAATAAAAATAAAAATTACAATCTCCTTCAAACTACACACAGATCCTATTTATTAGTCTCTGTTTTGCGTGAGATCTTTGCCTGTGCCGGGGTTTATCCGTGGACCGCCTATGGATCGGATCCGGTTGATGAAAAATTCGGCAGAGCTTCGCCTTCGCCGAGGAAGTATTTGATTTAAAGCACTGAGATCGACCAAGCGAAATCAGCACTCTTCTCGAGATCAAGACCAAGCCTGATCTTAAGGAAATAGAGGAAACGAGTTTCGGATCTCTCGAACTCTCATTCTTTATGCTGAAGTGATACGAGTCGCCGTGCGAGCACTCTTGATCGCGGAATTATCAAGAGTGGGTAAAGAAGAAAACGACTGAAGAACACAAGAGTTATAATTAGGGCGAAGGAAAATACCTTCTCTAGATTATGAGAATCAATTGGATTTACAAAATCTCTCTCTCTCACAATCTCTCTAGATCAAAGAACAACCTCCCTGATCTCTTTTCTGATTACAATCTGAGTTCTAAACCCTAGAAAAGTCGTGTTTCTATTTATACTAAACAGAAATCCCAACTGGAGCAGGAAACAGACCCAGGCCCGGAACCGCTACGCGGTCGACCGCAGTGCCCAAGGCGGTCGACCGGTCAGAACGACGAAAACTGGAAAAATCGATTACAGTGTTTCCGGTCGACCGCAGCGCCACCATCGGTCGATCGCTCTCAGTCCCGAGACATAGTCTGGGTCTGTGCACTAAGCGATGGGTCCCCCTTTAGGAACTTGAAGTCTCATTCAAGTTAGAACTTTAGCTGAGGGAACTCGCGAGTCCCTCCTTCTCTGTTGAACCACTTGGCCTTGCTAGGGACCTGACCTTGACGTCCAATGAGAAACGACTCCTTCGTCCCCCGCCTCGTCTTGGTCGTCTTCCATTCCAAAATGCAATCTTCTTTCAGTGGTTCCTCTCTATCAAACCACAAGTCTTCAACATGCGGTAAGATCATCTTGTCATCACCTTCATCATCCAATAATGGAGGCTCAAACAACTTCAAGTACTCGGCATTGATCACCGAATACATGCCTAAGTAAGGTGGCAAATCTAAACGAAAAGCGTTGTCGCTAATCTGATCGATAATCTGAAACGGACCATAACGAATAGGCTTTAACTTCTTCCCTTCTCCTTTGAGCCTCTCCTTACTCAATTTTAGCCATACCATATCGCCTTTACCAAAGTTACAAGGAACCCGATGTTGATCATGCTTCTCCTTGTACTTAGCTTGCGATTTCTTCAATTGAGCTTCAACCGTGGCATGAATATTTGCAATCTTCTCAAGAAATCGCTGAGCACGTTGTCTCTCACTCCCCTCCTTGCCGTCCACTGTGGCTTCACTTGAAAACACAAGATCGAACGGGCTCGGCGGTAAAAATCCATAACAAGTCTCAAACGGTGACTTTCCGGAAGATCCATGAATTGCCCGATTAAAAACAAACTGCAAATATGGTAAACTCTCATCCCAAGTCTTAGGATGCCTAGAATTATACCCCCGCAACATGTGCACCATAGTCCGGTTGACTACCTCCGTTTGTCCGTCTGTTTGTGGATGAAAGGCCGTGCTCTTCTTCAATTTAGTGTCCATCAAACACCACAAAGAATCCCAAAAATGCCCGAGAAAACGGCTATCCCGATCCGAAATAATCGAACTCGGCAACCCAAAGTGCTTCCACACATGTTCGAAGAACAATTGTGCTGCACCCGCTCCCGTCACAGTCTTCTTACAAGGAATCAATATCACCATCTTGCTTAACCGGTCCACCACAACGTACAAATAGTCATGCCCGC